TATCCCCTGTGTGCCTATGTGCATATTGTTACAGTAAATGCCCATGCCCCAGATTGAATCTAGACCGATTTGATGATCGCAGATGCTCGATAGTGTTTGAATTTTAATTTTTTTTTCTATAAATCCAAATCACTTGAAATTTTATACGTGTGTTCTTAAAAAATAGGCGAATCTACAAAACATATCAATTCTTTTTTTACTTGAAATAAATTGATCAAAATACCCTTGAAACATTTTGGGGGGTATTTGATAAATGCTTTTATTGAATTATTATTATTTTATATTTTTATTAGGTGTGTCTTTATGAGAAGAACCCACGTCTAAAATTTCAAGTGATTTGGATTTGTACAAAAAAATATATTAAAATTCAACTACTATCAGACATCCGTGAGTGTCAGATCGGCTACAGAATGACCCAGACTCAATTTAGGTCATTTGCGTATGGGCGTACAATAATGACTCCCATATATATATTTATATATATATGAAAATGCTAAGATTAACCCACTAGCGGGTATGAACATATGTGTTCATATGACCCCAATGGTCCAGATTGAATCTGGATCGATCTGACTGTCACAACTTTAATTCATATTTGAATTTTAATATTTTTTCAACAAATCTAAATTATTTGAAATTTTAGGCGTATATTCCTCAAAAATAGGTGATTCTAATAAAAATATCAAAAAAATAATTTGTAGGAAATAAATCAAGCAAAATACCCCTAAAAATGTTTCGGAGGTATTTTCATCAATTTTAAAATATTTTTATTAGGTGCGCCTTGATGAAAAAAATACACGCCTAAACTTTCAAGCTATTTGGATTTGTAGAAAAAACATTAAAATTAAAATATGAAATGAGGTTGTAACCGTTAGATTGGCCCTGATTTAATTGGGATCATATGTTCATATGAGGTAGTGGACTAATTCCAACATTTTCCACATATATATATAGGAAAAGTCTTCCAACGCCGATAGGCGAAAATGAACAATGATTTCACCTATGCTTATCACCATCCAAAGTTCATCGCATGGTCACGATTGTTCAGTAGTATTTCATTTTTTTTTATAAATCGAAATGATCTAAAATTTTGGTGTGTGTGTATATCTTAGTGAGGCATAGCTAATAAAAATATGAAAAAAATATTTCGCAAAATATAAATTGATCAAATACTCCCATAAATTTTTAGGGGTGTTTTGATCAACTTATATTTTATGTATTATTTTATTTTATTTTTTAATTAGATTCTCCTATTTTTGATGCACACGTTCTAAATTTCAAATCATTTCTATTTGTAAAAAAAAAACAATGAAAAAAATGAACTACCAATCAACTGTGACCGTGTGATGAAGTTTGTACGGTGATGAGGATCAGAGAAATCATTGTTTATTTTTGCCTATATATGGGAAACACTACGGAATGCCTATAGGCGAAAATGAATAGTAATTTTGCCTACCCTCATCACCGTCCAAAATTCATCGCATGGTCATAATTGTTTGGTAGTGTTTCAATTTTCATTTTTTTCTACAAATCCAAATTACTTGAAATTTGGAGCGTGTATACATCTTAGTGAGGTGCACCAAATAAAAACATAAAAAAAATAATTCGAAAAATATAAATTGATCAAAATACCCCCAAAAATTTTTGGGAATATTTTGGTCAATTTATATTTTACGAATTATTATTTTCATATTTTTATTAGGTGTGCCTAA